ATGAGAGCGCAAAATATTTCTTTGAAGGAACATAGGACAAAGGCGGAAATATACGGCAGCATCCCACCTCTCTCAACTACGGTACAGTGTAACGACCCAGAGCCCGCCTTGCTATAGAGCCAAAGAACAAGTAGTCTCTGACCTCATCTGCTGGAGATTACCTTGCCCCAACAGAGGTAGGAGACCCCTCAACTACGTTGACACTGTATGCAATGATGTGAGCCAGCACGTTGATGACATCACCACGGCCATGGCGGACGAGAGTCTGGAAGAGTTTGGTTGCATCCATCCCGGCTGCGGCCGCCCAATAATGATGATGATGATGCACCTTTAATCTTGCAAACAGTTTATAACTGGGGGCACATGGCATGGCCCTTTACAAAGAAGACCCGGAGTCACACCAGTTAAAGTGATTGATCACTGCTTACCAAGAGCTACTAAAAATAAATTGGACAGAGGCTGCACATGAATAAGAAACAGCATTGTGCGTCTTGAGACCAGAATGCCAAGAATGCTTCACTGTGTGAATAGGCTGACAAGCCATGTCCTTAAATTAAGGACAAGCTCTCTTAATTGTCTGTCTGTGGAGTGGCAGTCCAGGGCCTGTAAAAAACAGGGATGGCTCCTGACTTCACCATCCCTAATTGGCCCAGCATTTATCACATTGTGACTGTCATTTCCCCTTCTTTCGGAGCAGAGATTGCTCCTTATTTTCCTCCTGATTTTCTTGCCTAATTGGACAGTGCTGTGCTTGTGATATTGCAAGTGGCTGTTGTGACACTCTCTTGATTATAGAATGACTCCCTTTTTTTCTAGGCTTTAATTTCACATACTCGGCTCATTAGTGTGTTAACGTGGCCAGATACAAATATATGTTTGTTTCCTTTCTTTAAACAAAATAATGTGTAAAGAAGATTGAAGTTGAATTGCAAAGTGTTTGTGTAGAAATCTTTGTGTACTTCTCTACATCACAGCAATTGTAGTATATTTGTAAATGTGCATAGAACTTGTAAATGTGCATAGAACATAGAACATGTACATGTACCGGTATGTTACAAGTTTCAAGTTACAGGCCTAAACCATCTACTTTAGATTTAATATCTTTAACAACTAGAACTTGCATGTAGACATACATTTTAGAAAACAATGTCTCAGATTTTGCAACTGGAACTTAAGCATAACATGCATGTTACTTTTGAAGTTAAAAACAAGGAGTTGGATACATTATTTGCATTTTGCAAATTTAAAACTAGAACACCGGCCTGAAACAATTACACTGGCCCAATTTTCAAAATCTGAACCTAAGTATTGCAGAGCTGTCAAGATTTAATGGGGGAAAAAGAAGTAGACATGCATGTATACAGCACGGCGGATTTCAAAAGAGTCGGCTCAAGTAATGCAGCACAAGTCTGCAACCAAGCGCGCATTTATCCTCTTAAGTGCACCCATGTAGGCCAGGAATTAGCATGCTTAAAAGCCTAATTGCGGCCTTACCCCACCGGCAGCGGACAACGTTTTTCAAATGGCGTCCCTGATTGGTCCAAATTGAATTATTCAGCCGGTACCCGGGCCTCGTCGGCCACTTTAAGCGCGCCAGCGATTTGTGTCAAATGCGGGGTCTCAACACACACATACACAGAAAATAGGATTTAAAAGGGAAGGGGGCAAAAGGGGTCGATGAAATTTCTTCCCGCCGGTAAATTACTTTTAACAGACCCAAGCGTACCGTCTTTTTTTCCCCTTCTGTCTTTGTGTTGTCAGTGTTATTGATCTGCTACTACTGGTATTATCAGGGCATGAGAATTGTGGGTAGAATGGCAGTATCTAGGCAACCTGTTTTTCTTCTGTATTGAAGGGGTGTGTGTTTATTAACGAAACCACGCGCTCGGCTGCCAGAAGTGAAGCGTGTTCTGATTTGCCGTGTTTGCCGAGTCCCTGGATTTATTAATAATTTAAGAAGTCAAATACTGGCTGGTCGATTACTGAAATACCCGAGATCCATCAAGCCTGCTTCGTGCTGTAGGTCTCTCTCTCTGCCGTCCCCTTCACTCTTTTTTAAAATTGATGTATGATATTTCCTTGATGAAATTTTCCCCCCTTCTCTTGTTTGAACGTCACTCCGGTCTTAGTATGTCAGCTGCTCGGATATTGATGTGCTTGTTTTCATATTACGGAGGGGACGGCGTGTAAACAGGGAAAGCGGGGAGAGTATAGCGGGGTGGGCATGGCAGGGAGATGGGGTCCGGGTGATCAATGATGGTAATATGGGATGGTGTGAACGGTAGGAGGAGTGAAGGAGGATGCTGGTGTGTTACAGATGATGTGGACATTTCATCCAGGGGGTATTGATGAGATGCTCGCCCTCTTAGTCTTACCCTGCCACGCCCTATCTTAAAAAAAAAAACAGAGTGTGGTATAGACCTGATCTTGCTGCCACCATTTCAGTCATGTACCCTGTCTCCAATAACAGTTCTGAATGATAGTGTTTTTGTGCAAAAAGGAACCAGACTATTTCAGTCATGTACCCTGTCTCCTATAACAGTTCTGAATGATAGTGTTTTTGTGCAAAAAGGAACCAGACTATTCATCTTGCTGCCACCATTTCAGTCATGTACACGTACCCTGTCTCGTATAACAGTTCTGAATGATAGTGTTTTTGTGCAAATAGGAACCAGACTATTTGTCCTTCCAGCCTCGCTTTGGTTATGTTGATTTAAATGGGGAAAAAATAAAGATGGCCGCAACGTGATAATGGTCTATTGGCAGACTAATGTCTCAACTATGCATGTTTATCAATACACTTACATGTCTGTGAAAACAAAAATTATAAGCATAATTGGATAAAAAATGATGCAGAATTTTGAGCTTTGATTCAACTTGCCCCTTAGGAAGGATTACAGTGTATAATTTACAAAAGAGTGCATCCAAACCTAATAGCGCCCTCTATTGTGGTTGTCGTATCCGAAGAAGGCTAATTCATGTACATACATAGGGAGGATGCCCACTGTATTAGGAGAATTGAGGATTATGGGGAAAAAGTCCATACCTGGACACCACTTGACATCCTGTGCACAAACCCTATGAGACTGGTCTGAAAAAGTCAAAGTGTTTCTCAGTAAATGCTTCAATATTGTCCCTGCTAAATTTGACTTTCTAGGACATGTTATCGCTTTCAGATGGCTGACAGGTCACTGCAGGGAAAAATTAGTGATACATGTCCATGTATGGAATTCTTTCCGGATGCTAAACAGAAGAACAAGAAACTGAAATTTGCAGAAGCGTTTCAAATGTTCATCAGTACCTGCCCCTTAATAACGTCAAACCCTGTATCCCACACAGTGTTGCATTTTTTACTCAATGAGCTACACAGCATATCACAATACATAAATCTATGTATCCAAAACTGAGTTCCCAGTAGTTGTGCCGATGGTTTTATAATATTGCCAATTATCCTGAAACTTCACCCTCTTGAAAATGATTCATTGGAGTGGACAAATAATAACCCAAAACAAGTCGAGGCTTGCATTAACGAACAAAGCCGCAGACACCGTCCCCATCACATTGTCCCCGATCCAATTTTTGTCAAAGTTGTGATCCATCTTGCAGATGCACCCCGAATGACACGGTTGTGTCTGTGCACGCGCCCGGCCCGCACACGTGATGAATTGCCCAATCCCACTTCACTAATGGAGCAGCAAATAACCGCAAAGATGCAAAGTATTCCCCCGAGGAAAATTCAGAGGTTTCTGTTTGTGTCCTTTTTTTCTTTCTTATTCTTCTCCTTTATTTTCCTTTTCTCTCTTTTCTGTCTTGTTGGAGTGTTTGGAACTATCGACGATAATTTTTTAACATGGACTGATCGAGCATGACCAATGATAAGATTCTAACGATGATACAGTGTTGGTGGGGGGGGGGGGGGGGTTTACATGATAAACAATTATGTTGGAGTAAACTACCGGTGCGTCATTTGTTGAAAAGAAGAGGAGGAGCAGTTAAACGAGAGAGCACCTCCACTGTCAAAAACAATTAGAGAAAATAAGGTATAACCTTCCGTCTGCAATTTTTTTTGTCAATTATTTTTGTACAAGGACTCTCATCAGGCCCAGTGCTTGGGAAAAAAAGGAGAGAAAAAAAATGCACTTGAAATTACAATTTGAGCCATTGGTGACATATGCAGCTATGTTGGCAATCATTAAGCGTAATTTGAAACGTGCCTGCCAAGCAAATCTGATGACCTATTGAAATCCGATCCCGGGATTATGTATTTCTTTTCCGCCAACGTGACATTGGATGACTCGTCATGAGCGCGAACGCGATGCGGGAGGCTTCAAAATATCATTTTTTTTGTTTTTTGGTGGTCCTTCTTGAGAGGCTGTTTGTCACGGTGGACTTTGCCCTCTCGACATGACATGCAGAAATGAATAAATTTGGCCTTTCTTGAGCGTTGCCACTCGTAATTTTTTGGTTTTTAAATAAGAAATTTGTATTCGTGCCCAGAAGTGGCAAACCATAGAATCAATATTCCTTTGCTTTGTTTGATGTAAGAATTATACAGAAGGAGAAATTATTTGATGAGAGTTTTGAATTATTCAGCGGTAATTGAAAACTTTGAGTGTAATTGTCAATACGAGAAGCCTTCATGTTTCTGGAACTGCAAAAATCTTTGACCAAAAGATAATGTCTTAAAATCCCCCAAGGCAATTAACCAATGGAAAAACATGTTTCCAGTCATGTGACTAAACTAATTTACATATATACCGGTAGTTAAATCATATATCTGAACTTACATAATAATTGTTCTTTTGCGCATTTTATGAAAATTCGTAAATTCAGAACAGTTGCGTTTCTTTCTGTCGCAGTTTGGAAAAAGCTTGAGTGTGAGCGTGACAGTTGCTAGGCAACAGCTGGCTAGATTTTGTCAGTCAGTTGAACACGTTTTCCTTTTTTCTAAGTTCCATGCCCATATGCAATTGTTTACTAGTTGTTTACAAGTTTGTTTTCTATGTTGTTGTTTACAGGTAGAGGATGTGACCCTAATGATGGACAGGCAAACCAACAGGCATCGAGGTATGTTCACATTTTGTTTCTTCCTTTTCAAGTAGTTTATTTGTCAAAACAAGACATTACTAAATTAAACGCTAAACAAAATACAAACTGAAACAGTATTGAAAGCCCCAGTAAGCCTTCAAATACTGGACTACATTGTACTACATGCTATCAAAATACATGTAGTTTATATCCTTTTTTTAATAGTAAAATATTTATGCTGATTTAAATGGAAAGTGAAAAAAACTACAGGTACATGTAAACATACACTTTATCAAAAACCTCAACATTCCTTCAAATAAAGCAAATGCCGTCAAAATATGGGAGTTCTTTTTTTTTATAAAGCTAAGTGGTCATGTTATTTCTTGACACATGAGGGCGCTGTTTATGTCATGCAAGTAGGACAATGAATGCATTTCATGTGCACTGAATGGCTACATTTAAAACCTGAACAGTAATACATAGCTGCATGTACATGTATATTTACACACACCAAATGGGAACAAACAAATGCTACCAACATTATGGTTCTGGTTGGTCATGTACAAGAAGCGTTTTCTTTTGAAAATCTTCACAGAAACTTCATTTCACCTTAAAATGTGAATTGCCAAAAATGGTCCGGATTTCACGCAGAATGGAAAAAAACAACTTAAGCTTGTCACATAGGTCTCACCTTAACTTTGTTTTAAAGACGTTTCCTTAGTAAAGTTGGATGGAGATGAAAATTATTAACCAACTTAATATTTTGTATATATTCCGCTCAGGAGGTTTTGGAAATGAGGCTTTCGTTGTGTAATTGCGCCTAAGGCCAAATCAACCACGGGTCAATATCTAGAATAGTTTTGTTCTGAATGTAACTTAAGACCCCTGATTTCACAGCTTACTAACTGTACAGTTTTGCCAGTGTAATTGGTTTTCCACTCAATGAAGACACTCGTGAGATTGTTAATTAATGGTAATTTATACATAAAAACCACTCTAGGGTATATATTTTAAAAGATGGACAAAAGTCCCATTAAGTCATTAAATCATTGATCTTTTTTTTTTTCTCGTATCTAATTTGCTGCAATGTTTTAAAGCCTGAAAAACTTTAAATAGGGTTGAATTTCAGGTAGCAATCTGAGCATCCAGTGTGAGAAAAAAAAGGAGGGAAAGGGGGAAAGAGAGGGACAAACAAGAAAGAACGGTGGATGGTTTGGCCAGTATCGGCAAGGGTATGGACGTGCGTAAATGACCCTGCCGCTGGGCATGCAGGGAGTATCAGTCCAGCACTAATGGCCGGCAAACGGTGAGCCAACGCAACCAGAAATTAATTGAACGTACTAACAGTGTTGGCAAAAATGTAACCCAATCCCTCGCTAGCTTGATTCTCATTTAAGGCAAGCCCCGGCCGAGACTCGGAGTTCCTCTTTGACCGCTGCGATCGAAACTGTTGCTCCGTTGCCTCCGAAGGAAGAAAAAAAGAACTTGTAGTTTTCAGTTTTGTTGACCATTTCAGCCTAGGAAATGAATAACAATGTGAGCAGATCGAGTGACTTGCCAGCCCGCTTTCAGCGACATTCTTAAACATTTTCGCAGTTGGTAGGGTCCAAAAGGGGCCTTTGTCGCGAAGGAATTCTTAAACAGTCAGCTCGGGTGTCAAACAAGTATAAATTGCTTGCCGGTCTTGTGATCAGGATACATTTACCCATTCACACTTTTTTTTCTGGAGTTGTTGGCACATGTAGTTTTCTTTTTTTATACTTCGGCGGGTAGAAATATAATTCCCCAGGTTTTGTCGCGGAATTGTGCAGGCATGAAATTCTCGGGTTATCTGATCGTTGTAATTATCTCAGATTGGATTTTTTGGTGAAAGGGAGACGGTGAGTTCTACATGTACCGTTGCATGACTTCTAGGTTAATCGTTCTCAGTCATTTTAGAAAAAACAGCACATCAAACATAATACATTGTAAGTTTAGGACGGTGGTTCATAAAAGGCGTTACTGTTGTTTGCTTGACCTGTACAATAAATCAAAACTTTTAATTAAGTTCAGTGTAGCTTCCGATCTGAGATGTAATTCTTGGAGATTTTTTCAAGACTGGTGATTGACCAGTAAGAATTCAGGTCTTAAAACCGGTCCAGTTTTTTGCAGTTGGAGCAAGTTTAACATTTGTGTGCAGAGCTGAAGTTTCTTTGGAAGATTTTGTCTTTCCTTCAGATCTTTCCACATGTAGGTTTGATGCAGCAGTTTACGATTGAATTTTATGGTAGGCTTGTTGCCTGGGATTTGTCATAAAACTTCAGAGGTCGCTATTGAGCAGAGCAAAACCTAACTGAGCGGATGGCCACCAGAAAGTGATATCCGCCATTGCCAGATTAATCCAAGCAAATTACAAGTCCCAGCAGGAAATGAGGCTCCTTTATATCTGACCGCCGAACCATAAAAATGAAGGAGAAACGAGTCCTATTGTTCCTATTTTTTTTGAGAGCCATGCCACTTGGCAAGCCAGCGAGCCATAACTGAAAGAAAATGGAGCAAATGTTTGAACGGCGCGCAGTTGATTATTTGCTGGCGATTCATAGAGCTGAGTCCGGTCGTTTGCCCGCGTGACTTGCCCCCCCTTTTCCTTTCAAGCGTGCCGCTCCTTGCAATGCCGCCATCATTGTGATTTGTTTTGTGGGGCAGTGATCGGCAATCAGCGTGGGGATCCAGTCATGTGCGATGGGACTATATGAGGGAAGCGAGAGAGAGGAGTTAAGAGAAAATGCGAGCAAGACGGCTTCAGGGCTCACCAGAGTATTTGAATGGTATTGACCTTTCCCGCTGCAGTCGCAATAGTCCAGTTTTTTTGTGCATGGTGCTGCAGGGCGGTTTGCCCTCGTAATTTCCTGTCTCTTTGGTTACCTGTGGGAAATAAACCCAGCGTGCATAGTGCAGGGGCCTCTCGGGCCAACGGCCAAAAAATTGCCCGACACACGAGATAAAGAAGGGGGAAAACAAACCACCCAACACAAACACACACACGGGCATAAGCGGCATAGGTCCGACCCGATCATTTTTTTTGAGCTTTGTATTGGTTTGCAATCGAGAATCGGAAATCCGAGCGTGTCATAGCTCTCATGCCGTGTCCGCCGTGAATTTGCATTATTATTCCAGCCTCGGTGCCCGGCGCCGGCCGCTGACAAACGTTTTTGACTTTTCTTTTTGTAAAATTGAGAAGGCAGGGGATAAAAAAAAAAGGAAGAAAAAAAAAAAAAGATGCGAGGATGGCTAGGATAGGAGACACAGGTCCCGGCACATCAAAAATAGAAGTCCCCATCGTGTCTTGGGACGCGGCCTGGGACGAGACAAGGCACGCAGAGAAAACAGGAGAAATTGACTTTCATGGCAGATTAGGATTCCGCGCTCAACTCGACCCCGGCTCGGCCGGGTGCCCGACTCTCCGGCTGCCCACGGAAGAGTTTTAGAGTCAGTAGGTTTGGCGCCTGTGTGATTAAACGCAGTACTTGAGGGGTCTTTGCATTCACTCACACCTGCTGGCCATAGCCAATCCAGTATAAATTTAATTGTGGGGATCCTTTCACTTGGGGATCGCCCGGTAGAATTCCATTTTGTTAAATGACACGAAACTGTCATGAGAGGGAGATGTTAGAGAAAGAGTGGAGAGAAGAGGAGGCGAGTTGGCGGCGTCCGTGCTTGCTGAATGCCAAGTCGGATCGGTACTCCGGCCGGGTCACGACCCTTAGGCATGGTTTTTTCCTTCCCTTTCTTTCTTATTTTCTTGTTTCTCACCTCGGATTTATAGAAAAAAGGAGGTTGTCTGGGATAAGAAGCTTGTACCGTTGAGATGGCAATTCAAGCGTATACATTTCAGCGCCAAGCCACTATCCGGTCCGGCGGACTCGCCGGGCAATATAGTGTTACTCCGAAATGCATGCAGGAGCAGCAGTTTAGAAACAACACAGGGATCCTAGTGAGACATCACTGCCAACTCTGCGGCGACGTCTAAAGGAAAAAAAAAATGGAAAGAGACGGTTTGGGGGTACAAAAAAAATTGGCAGACATGGCAGAACGCTCACACGCCTAATAGGTGCCGCAGTCCGTGTAGGCGTTGATCCCCTTTCTGCCCGGAACTGATAATGGATACATGTAAATTTTAACGCGGATGCCGCTGAAGCGCCTCTCTTGCAATTCTGATATCCCCATCTGACTCTCAAGGGCCGAGAGCTCCTAGACATCCTGGCCCCAGCGTCCGAATTCACCTGTACGCGAGATTGCCCCCGACAAGCAGCTGGATCAGTTCAGAGCCACAGAAAATGTTTTCAGATCACTACTAAGTGGGCAAAATTGCACGTTTTCTTCTCCTTTCTTTTTTGCCCACTCTTCGGTCTCCTCTCTCCTTTTTCTTCCTTTTCTCTCTTCTTTCCGCATCTTCTTGCCCTTTTGCATGGATCTCTCTCTCTCTCTAAAGAGTTGAGTTTGCAGTGCCTGTCTGGACATGCCGTGCCGTTAAGCTTCTGAGGGGAAGAGAATAACAGAAAGAAAGGGGAAAAAAAGGAAGCAGTAAGGAGAAAAAATGCTCAAAAGAGGGGCAAATAGATGGGTAAGAATCGACGTTTTACTTGAGTAGATCTGATCAGGAGGGGATATTGTGTCGCCATGTGTTGGCTATTTTAAGGTTTCTAAGTAAAGCCGTGGCGCATAGCGCGCTAAGATCAGACAGGGGCTGCGCTAACAATAATACAAGCCTTCGCTCCGTGTGGCGGCAGGGGCCAGACAGTCAGGCTCCTGGTCAGGGAATTTGCAATTCAGAAGAAAAAAGTGAGGTGGGGGAGGGGGGGGGGTGAGAGAAAGAAAGAAACCTGATAAATAGTTTCAAGAAAAGGGCACAACAGGTTTGTTGTATGCCTGTGTGTTTGCATTTCATGGTGCTGTGAAAGAGAAAGAAAGCAATGTTAAGTGGTAATTTGTTGAGAAGAAAGAATGGCTAAACATATAAAATAACCCGCAGGCGAGATACAAACAGACCAGGAAATAGC